AAAGCTCCCAAGAAAATTTCAGCATTAAATGACCCATCAGAAGTTGATGTGTCATTAAACAATAAAATCAAAATGAAAAATAGAAATGACTGAATGTTTTTATGTTATATAGTATGGGAAAAAATACAAACACTGGCTATAATTTTACATCAAGAAACACCAAGATATAGAGATGTTTAGCTTGGAATTTATTCTAATGTTTTTGGTTTCCTTAGATTTTCTTAACTCTGAAATGAGTAAATGCTCAGACACGAGTTCATCCTATACCTGAACTAAGCTTATAGATTTAATATTTACCTATTGAATACTTACAGATTCTGAGGATGGTAATAATAATAATAATAATAAAACTATTTTGATGTTAAATAACATTGTTATTATATTGTAAAATCAACCATCCCAACCGAACCCATTAATTAATCAATAAAAGAAAAATAAATGGAGAATGGAAAACTGTTTATTTGAACATCTTGTCTTAAACCCTACAAACTTCCACTTCAAAAACCTTGGTTGATTAAAAATGTTCATAAAAGCTGTGAAGAGTTTTGTTTGTTATCAAATCATCTCTGAAACAAAAATGCTAGATGCCAATATACGTGAATATTTCCTTTCTTTGGAAAAAAAAAAATTTTTGGATATCCTGGGAAATATAGAAGTAAAATATTTTTTAAAAAAAGTACCTATTTGTCACTAAAATCTTAACATTAATGTATCCAAAAAGCTTACCTATTGGTCAGATGGCATGTTGCCCTGTCAGTAGATTTGGAAATACACTGACCCTCCCAGCATATCTAAATGGCTACCTATGACATATATACTTAAATATAAATAACCAATATTTGCCCTTCTCTAAATCAAGTAGATGCTTATAGACTTAAATATAATAAAAAGACTGATTTCAAGATTAAATATTCCAACAACAAACCAACACAGTCCAGAATGATTTGCCAAAGAGTGAGTTACCATCAGGAGATTGATAACTGCTGAAAAATTTGTCATTTTATGAATTTTGTTTCTTAATAATATAAGCGAAACAGTGTGGCAACATTAATGGAACTAATGTCTTTAATTTAATTACAAAATTAAATTCGGGGCTTTTAACTTCCATTTTTGAAACATGGTTAGAACTGTGTAGTGCATATATATATATATATATATTATTTATTTACTTTTTTTTATATATATTTCGTCATTAGATATTACTAGAAAAAATATTGACTTTTTGACTGAAAGATCTACATATTGATATATATATATATATATAAATAAAAAGAAAGAACAGTAAGAGTGTTCTTATAGATATTTTTATTTTTACAAGATAGTGCCCAATGTAAATTTACAGAGCATTAATATTATAAATTGATTAAAATGTTGTTTTTTCACTACACAGTTCTAACCATGTTTCAAAAATGGAAGTTAAAAGCCCCGAATTTAATTTTGTAATTAAATTAAAGACATTATTGAGGATGAAATGGAACTAATGTCTTTAATTTAATTACAAAATTAAATTCGGGGCTTTTAACTTCCATTTTTGAAACATGGTTAGAACTGTGTAGCATATATATATATATATATATATATATATATATACACACACATATAAAGTGAATAGTGAAGTCAACACCCAAATGCAATCATCGGACTGTGTGCATTGTTTTTGCTTGACTATATATAAAAGTTAATGATACATTGTGGGTCTATTGTAACGGTTATTTCAGTGGGTAGTAATGGTTGTGTTTTGAATTATTCTAGGGGTTATTGAGGGGGGAATAATTGTAGATCTGAATGCACTTTCTTTTTTGCTATTTATAGTGTTAACTTTTTTATTTATTGTTGATTATTTTGTTGATTATTAGTTATGACTACACATATATTTGGATATGTGCATAGTGGTTATTGTGTGTTATTGTCTACTTTTGCATAGATACTTTTGGGAAAGGTATGAATCCATATTTTTTTCACTGCAACTATAGGTTAAACAGCAATGCACACTGGCCTCTCTAGGAGAAGGACAACTTTGAATTCAAAACCTGTGATGCAACTGGAAATGTTGGAGTGGCATGCTTGTCCAGTGTGGCAACATTTAATGGCTAAATCAGCAAAATGCTATGACTCAAATGAGAAACTCATCAAATGTGAAAAGGTTATATATAATGATGATTAATATATATTTGGGTTGGGTTGCAACCTTTCTTTTTAAACATCTTTTGTTAAATATGACAGAAAAAGGACTCTAGTGCTTTTGACCAGTATCTTTCTTAAGGGATCTTGCAGATTCTGGGTTGATAAATGTCTTTTTCTGGTGCTTTGCTCTGATAAGTGACATGCAAGGTATCTACTTAATATATATACTCTTCATGGATGAATAATTAGGGGAGGGGAATTTCCATGCGTGTTACGGAACCATCCACATCGTGCAGGAGACAAGTTGAATAGCTTTCAGGCTTGTAATAGTGATATTTTAAAGCAAGAGAAGTGATTATAGCTTTTTTCTTTTCTTCAGGACTTTGGAAATCTTCCTATATGTTGTAGCTCTTACTAAAGTTTGTCTTTTTGCTATCCCTTCCAATCTCTGTTCTGCCATCCATTCACACAAGCTTATTAAGTAGCTTACTTGCTGCTTTTATCTACCTCTCTTGCTTTCAATATGTCCTGTGAGTATCATATTCTCTAAGTCCTCTTTTTACATTGTGTGCCCTAAAAATTTAAACACTTCCCAATTCTAAGTATAAGCATTCTTTCTGTTACTTTTTTCCTTATTATTTTCTGCTTCATGCAGGGTATTCTCAGCATCCTTCTATAGAAAACCACATGTTACCTTATGTCTTCTATTCGTCTGAGGAAATTGTTCACTGCCATATAGGAAGCTTGATATATTAACAGTATTTACATTGTTCAGACAAGGTATTGAACTCACAACTCTTTGGGTCAAGTCACTGGATTACTTCAACCAATGCTTTTATCCAATGGGCCATGTATCTGTGGAGAGTTAAGTTACTAAAGGGAAATATCTGAAACTAAGATATCCAGAAAAGGCATGGCATGTGGAACTAGAATAATCTACCCTAGTGGACTAAATAAAAGTTTTGGTTTGAAATTCCAACATATATCATAGAAAGCTCGAATTTACAATGGCTGAAACATCATGAATCTTACTTATTATAAAACGCAGATTATGTGTGTCTGTACGTTTATATATTGGATTGGATTTCCTACATTTTTCAACCGATTTCAACAAAATTTCACAGGACTACATAAAATTACCTTGCAGTGGTTCTGACAGCGCCCAAAATTGGAAAAACACAATTGTTTTTGCACAAAATTAACTTGGAAACACGATTAAGAGGTATCGCAAGAATGAAAGGGGGACTACTGATATCGAGTTATACTTATAAAAACCAATGTTGTGTGTGTGTTCATTTATATATGGGATTGGATTTCCTACATTTTTCAACCAATTTCAACAAAACTTTACATTCAGAATGCTTTAAAAATTCCATTTACAAGACAATTGTCTATAATAAAATTCTATTCAATCAGCAGACTCATAATTATCGAAAACAATGTTTTTGTTTGAGTTTGACCAATTCGTAAAAAAAAACAAAAAAAAACTAAGACATGCGTGTCCATCAACCTTAAACAATAATCTTTGTCAATTTTATTTTTCAGTCTTTATGATGGTCGATACTTGATCTATCTCTTACTGTTACATCCCCATGCAACGCCGGGCTCTACTGCTAGTATGATAATAAAGATGAAGACAACAATAGTGTAAATAGTTACAATACTTCATCTCAGAAATACAGATGCTGAGGCTTGATATTATTAAAAACTTTCTGCTTAATAATTTGATTAGCCTTTTGGAAGGCTTTTATTGTTATTCCAATGAACATTTAGATTTTAGTAGTAGACCACAATAGTGGATCCCTAATGAGGATTGAACTCCCAACATTAGAAATAATACAAGACTAACATGAAAATGTTCAAATGTCTTTTCTGAGATTCTTTATTCTTTAGCTACTAAAATATAATTGATGTGACTTAAAGGAATACAGTATATTTTTGACTAAACTAAAGATTTAATTTTAGGGCTCAGTGTACCCAAATTTTCATGGTTCCATGTATGCATCTACTATTTGACCTTATTCCTATTCTTCACACCATTGTCTTCTAGATTGAACAAGACAAACCTCTATTTGCGTAATCTCTTTCAATTTCCATTCCTCTTTCAAAGGGTAGCCATAACCTGCTGCTGTTTCTTTTCCAAATGAAAGCACAGCATTGATGATTCTGTATCCAAGAAAATAATTTTCTACATTTCTGCTTTTCACCATTCTTACTGATGCTCCTGACACATGCACCTGCTGCCATGTGTCCTTGTACAAATGTTTACTTCTATATCTACATATATTTTTTTCTTGGTCTGCTACCAACCAAACAGTATAGTTTTTCATTTTTTTATATGTTAGAGATAGGTGGTGTTTTCTATTGTTGACATACTTGTTAGTTTCATTATGTTTATTTATGATCTGTAATTGGAATGCAAATTGGCTTCCTATCAGGATTTATTTTATATAAGCTTTAATAATTTCCAGCAATTCAGATCCTGGAATAAAATCTCCAAGTTATTTATTGAATGTCATAAAACTAAAATCACAATGCCATAATTTATTTAATAGACAGGATTGTTGAGACACATATCTCAACATTCCTGTTTTCTAGTGAATTAATTTTGTTTTTTATGGTTTATCAACTTTTGCAGGTGATTTAACTCCAGAAAATAGTTTTAGATTGTAAAAAAATCTTTTCAAGATAATAATGGTTTTAGTGGTACAAGTCTTACTAATTAACCCATAGCTGGGAGGAGAAGAGGTGGATTCATACCTTTTCCAAGGATATTTGCTCATAAGTGAATATAACAAAACCTGCAGAAATTGGAACTTGGCTCTCCAATTAACAGTTCCTAGAAAGTATCAATTACATCAACTTAACATTCAAACTTACAGCACCTGATATTCCCAAGTGGTCACCCATTTAGGTATTAACCAAGCTCCATGTTGCTTAACTTCAGTGATTTTATGGGAACCAGTGTTTCAGTGTGAGGTGGCCATAAGCCCATTAAGCAAAAAGGTTAGAATATATGAGGAGGATATTGGTTGATAAAAATAACATGATCTTACATTTCAGGTAATATAATCTAAAAATAACCATGTATGAGAACATAAATTTTTAAACAATGATGTAGAATCAAATATGGTATTGCAGGAAATAAGTGGATGAATTTTATGCTTCAATATGAGAATTCCATGATCAGTTATTCTCTCCAAGAATCACTCATCCTGGGTATGATGATAAACTACATCTGGCAGCAAAGCCTCTGATCAGGAGATTGGAGGTTTTGAGGAGCATGGAAACACCTCTTAATTGTTGCTGTTCCTAGGTTCTTCATTACCAGAGTGGTAGCACCTGTTAGGGTCTCAGCTATGGGCAAATAGTGAACCCCCAAACAAAAATCAACATTACATTTTTATAATAAAACAACCAAAAATAATTTTTATAGCAATATAACTATTATAATGCCACTATTCTATGGCTATTGTTATAAAAGACTCTTACATATATAATGTACTTTGTATAAGGATTTTCTATATGTAATGCTTTGGCTAACTTGTTGTGTGGCATGTATTAGTTTTTCTGAAGACTGACTCCAAATGGCTAGGTATTTACCGATGCCTCCCCACTTAGACGGAATGTGACACAAGGTCAGTTTAGTATAGGCAACCCGAGCATGTACACTTGGGCCACTGGTCTAGAATTTAACCATTGCCTGCAAATGTGGGGAACAAGCACTTTACTCAGCTGAATTTCTATCTGTCCAAAGACAGAGGTTTTGTCATTCGCAAGCCAGACAACAAACTGCCTGACTTGAAATGGTTAGGTATTTACCCAGGCCTCCCTACTTAGATGGGATGCAACACAAGGTCAGTTTAGTATAGGGAACACAAGCACAAACACTCATGCAACTGGTCCCAAATTTAACCATTCCCCACAGAAATACTTTGGGTACTTTGCTTGTCTGTTTTTCTCAGTCGAGTCTCCATCTATACATCCTGCGTATGACGGTAAACTACATTTGGCAGCAAGACTTCTGATCAGCAGGTTTTGGGGACTGTGGAACTACCTCTTAATTGCTGGTGTTCCCAGGTTCACCCTGACACAGGGTAGTAGAACCTGTTAGGGTCCCAGCTATGAGCAAATAGTTAACCCTCAAACTGGGGTCAAGACAGTATGAAAGTCTAAAAATAGGTTTAATACCAGCAATACATTTTTAGAGAAAAAAATTACCAGCAATACATTTTTGAAAAGAGAAAAAAAGAAATTATAATAAAAATTTTGTGGGCAATTAATAACCTATTGTGGTTGATATGCCATAAACCAAACCAAACTCTATCCGTAGATAGAGCCTCAAGTGAGTCGCCCTTTGCCTGAAGAAAGAGGTCTTGTCAATTGCAAGCCAGACAGCAAACTGCCTGACTCAGCTACCAGTCTTACCTCTGACCTGGAGCTCTTCATGGTAATGGATGAGTTCATATAGTCGCTGGTAGTGTGCTATTTACTCCACCACAATGACAATCAATGCAACATTAAAAAAAATAAAAATACATTTTTATATTAAAATTACCAACAATACAGGTTGATCTACAAAATATATATCTAAAAACATACCTTTACTCTGAAAGCATAAAATTACATACAAAATAGATTTCAGCATTAAATAACCCATAGTTTGATATGACACCAGACAAAATCAGCCAACCAAACTATCAACATGAAAGAACACTTTCATGACATTAGTCCATATAATATCCTATAATTTCTTAAATCAAATTGTATTCCAAAATATAATTCCAACAACGTTTATATGCACAACATTTGTGCATATAAATATTTATATGCACAAATGCTGAGTATCATCTATCATGTATTCACTTGTGAGAGCAGAATAACATATATCATAGTTTTATTACTTCAAAGCTCCCAGGAAAATTAAATTTCAGCATTAAATGATCCATAAGGAATTGATATGCTGAAAAACCAACCAACCAATCAATCAATCCAAGAATCACAGGTGTAGCATGTTTTGAAATGAAAAATCTTTGTAAACATCTGAACATATTTGATAGCATAAATATGCATTGACATTTTCAACCCCCACCTCATTTCAGTAGGGTATATTCAGGAAAAAAAGTTCTAATGTATTTAAACCATTAATGTTCATCATAAAATCCAGTGTTGTTAATAAAAAATAAAAATCTGGTGTTATGGGTTCCTAAAAAAAAAAAAACAAAAAAAAAACTTTTGTATAAATTATAGGCTTATAAATATCCAGTATTAATTATAGCTCTAATCCATTTTTTGGATAGTATTCATTAATGATTTAAGCATGTAAGGTTTAAAGCAAACAATCAGTATATTGCAATGCATTACAAAAGCATTTTAGCAAACTTTACTGTATATAAAGAGCAAGCAATAGGAAACATTACTGTATATAAAAAGCAACCAAGACATAAAGCAAGAAATCACAATAGTGAAAAGTATATATGAAATCAGTCATAAAATTGCAAGAGAAAAACATTTAAAAAAACGCAAGCAACCATGAAAACTGAACATAAACTGAAACTTGATTTTACCATTGATTATTTTCTTTCAGTTATGCTCCATTCCTTTTGTATTTTCAGATTGGTTAATCATAGGAGGATGCATGGCTGAGTGTTTAGAACATTTGCTTTCTGACCCTGAGACCTGTTAGATTTATGACAAAGGTAACTTCTTTATCTTATCAGCCTGGCGAGGTGATCTCAGTGCTTTGTAACTTTGAAAAGAGTATGGGTTTACCCAGGGCTTGAGTGAAGTTGGGGAGACAGAACTACTCACCGATAGTTGTACTAGCACAATTTCATGTATGATATAGTGTTTTTTATTTATGCTGTTTTTTTTTATTTACACTGTTTTTTTAAGCAATCATTTGGGAGAAAAATTATATGCCATTGAATAAAGTTTGCTCTGTAATTAGAATTTTAATTTAATGTGTTAAACTTCAACATGATTTAAACTTCCTTTTCATAATGAGGCACAGAAAAAGTATATACTTGAAATAAAAAGAGAAAATATCAAAGGAAAAAGCTTTTCAAGAATTGATTTTGTTTGCTTAATGTACAGGCTGAATCTGTTAAGCCTAACCATGGTATAAAGCTTTTAGCCATGATAAACAAAAAGAATGTAGATATTTTAAGTGCACGTACCAAAGAAAAATAAAAAAAAAAAAAATATTAGTTGGTGGGTGGATCTGACTAACTTTTTTTTTTTTTCCAAGGACTTGATGACAGCACATACACACATCTATGAACACACATTTTGAAAACATTTTGTGTGGGACAGACATCAGTTCATTAAGGCATTTTTTTTTTTTTTTTTTGCTTTCTCTTAAGCATAGAATTTTTCCCTCAAAAGAAAGATATAAAAAAAACATGAAAGTTAAATTAAAAATATGGTTGGCTTGTCCTAAAGAATTTAATCTTTTTCTCATGTGCCCTGTTCCATCAGGTCATTGGCAATCATGGCTGTCCACAACTTCCTATTCTTTGTAGCGTAAAGCAATGTTTGATTTTTTTTTTTTTTACTATGTTCTTCCATCTTTACACAACCTTTTTAAGTAGGTTACTTGCTTTTTATCAGTGCACTCTTGCTTTCAGTATGTCCTATGAGTATCAAATTCTCTAAGTCCTCTTTCCTCATTGTGGAAATTTTAACTGGCTTTGTATAAGTAACTTTTTTCTTGTTGATTACATACTCTGTCCATGGTATTCTCAGGCCATATCATGTTGAAACATTGGTTCTTGTACAATCACCAAACTTAAACAATTTTGAACCTGGTTATATAGGTGACTGCCTGGGAATACTAAGTCTGCTTTACTTTATTTTGTTTTACAGCCTATCAACACCTCAATGGATTATTTAATGCTGACAAGATTCTTAGAATATATTCATATGAACAGAATATGTATTCTTTATAAGAAATCAATTTGTAGCTCAGGTTTTATTAACATATTTTTGTAAAAAGGTTTTTTGTTAAGAGTCAAATGTATTGTTGGTAACTTTTTTTTTTCTTCAAAAATGTATTTCTGATATTTTTACTACAAAAATCTATTATACATTCATAGTGTTTTGATGCTAGTTTGGGGGATAACTATTTGATCATAGCTGGGACCCTAACAGGTGCTACCACCCCAGGAGGTTGAGGTGGACCTGGGAACAGCAGCAATTAAGTGGTTCCATGCTCCACAAAACCTCCCAATCAGAACACTTGGATAATTGCTCAGAATTAGAAATTGGTAAACCAAATTCCCACCCCAATAACATTTGTTGTTCAATCTCCAAAATAGCGCTTACAATCTAAAAATATTTTCTGGCTTTAAATAACTTGAAAAAGGTTAATAATCTGTAGAAAAATAAAAAAAATCAGGTCACTCAATCATGGTATTCTCAGCATTTGTGTGCAGAACCACATCTGTTAGCTGATATTTCTTCATCTGTGAGGAAATTATTCTTTGTTCAATGCTGTTAATACTAACAAGGATTTTCTTCCAGATTTGGACACAAAAATAAGGTTGCTCTTATAACATTTTGTCACTTATTAAAATTAAGAAAGTCAGCAAGAATTATTTTAATTCCTTTCTTAATTGAGCCAAGGACATACAAGTCTGCTATTGTTGTAGCATACCTACGGGCAATAATGAGTATGTCCCCATTCACATAAATACAGTAGTAAATACTGTAAGTTGATCTGTAGTTGAAGATTTGTTGTGGAATTCACTTGACTCACTTCTAACAGTTGACTACTTCTACATGCTGCTGGCAAATCTTATGTGTTGTTTTTGTCCTAAGTATTATCATTTATTACCAACCTTTGTATGATTATTCTATTCAGTAACCTTCCTTAGATTACAACAATTATAATTCAAAGTAATTCCAGAATTCTAAGTTCTACATGAGTCTTTCTTTCAGATCAGACTAAATATTTGGCAAAAAGAGTAGAAGTTGTAAGGAAT